GACATACATGTGAGACAGCCATCCCTTCTCACCTTTAAACATGAGGCTCAGGAAAATTGCTTCAACTCTGTCAAGTAAGGATGATATTATTTGGGAGTATTGGCTCTTCCGTTTAGAAGCATATTGAGGCCAGGTGTGGTGGCACACACCTACCATAACCCCAGCAGTTTGGGAGGCTGAGGTGGGAGGATGGCTTGAACTCCCGAGGTTGAAGCTTCAGTGAGCCCTGGTTGTGCCACTGCACTCCAACCTGGGTGACTCAAAACAAACAAAAACAACAAAACCAAAAAAAAAAAAAAGAAAAAAAAGAAAAAAGAAAGAGCATATGGAGAAAATAATAGTGGACTCTTTCATGACCTTCAAGCTTTATAAATGACTTTTTGTTGCCCTTTTGACTATTTTGCAAGTCAAGATTGACTTTGATGTAGGGAAGTTATCCCGCTCTTCCTTATTTGAATGATAAGTGGCAGAGTCAGAAGCACAGAGTGAATATTTTGTCTCTGGGTTGTTCTACCTTGGTCCATTTCCCCCTAAGTCCTACACAGCAGTAGGTTCCAGTATTTATTTCACAATTTCTGTTATAATTGTCTCTTTCTTTTCAGTTCCACCAACACCACCCATCCTAATTTATTTTTACAGTATAACTGGATGATTTAAATGGTTTTCTGACTAAACTCTCTGCTTCCACTTCCTTTCACTTGCATGGTTAGATGGATCTTTTTAAACATAAGTTTTGGTTCATCACACCTCTGCCCGAAACTCCCAAAGACTTGCCTTTCCTGAAAGGTATTATTGAAACTTTCTTACTTAGCTCATCAGCTTTCAAAATCTACCCCAATCTCAGAATGGTAAGAGCATGTATGGTACATTCATTAAAATTATAACATCCATTAAATATAATGATTCTGGCACAGTCATTTATTCAACAAGTGTTTTTCAACTTTCTACTGTGCACCTGCCACTGTGCTAGGTGTTGGGAATACCAAGGTTCCTGTCCACAGAACTTTGAGTCTAGAGAAGGAAATAGTAAAGAAACAATCATATTAATAAATGTGCACTTAAAACAAAAGGAGATAGCAGGTCTGAGAGAAAGGCCTATTGTTCCATAAAAGCACATAGCAAAGGATTCAGACTTTTTTTTTTTTTTTTTTTTGAGACGGAGTCTCACTTTGTTGCCAGGCTGGAGTGCAGTGATGCGATCTCGGCTCACTGCAACCTCTGCCTCCCGGGTTCAAGCAATTCCTCTGCCTCAGCCTCCTGAGTAGCTGGGACTACAGGCACGCACCACTATGCCTGGGTAATTTTCTTTGTTTTTGTATTTTGGTAGAGACGGAGTTTCACCATGTTGACCAGGATGGTCTCGATCTGCTGACCTCATGATGTGCCTGCCTCGGCCTCCCAAAGTGCTGGGATTATAGGCGTGAGCCACCGCGTCCGTCCAAGACTTCTTAAAAGAGGTCAGAAAAGATGCTCTGAGAAGGTGATTCTTCAAATGGAATTTGAAGGATGAATTGAAGTCACCTAGGCAAAAGGTGGGGAGATGGATAGATGAAGAATGTTATCAGACAGATGAAACAGCATGGACAAACATCTTGTGCAGGACAGAGCAAATACATTTAGACTACTTAGAAGGAACTTGAGTGGTTGAAGAAGACAAAGAGCAAGAGGAAGAGTCAAGTCAGACGATGCTAGAGAGGCAGGGAGGGGCCAGATTAGCATGCAGGGTCCTGTGTGCCATGCTGTGGATTTTGGTTATTGGCATAGACCAGTGGTTTTCAACTGGGGGTAATTATGTCCCCCAGGGGACATTTAACACCGTCTGGGGACATTTTTGATTGTCACAACTGGTGAGGGTCCTATCGGCATCTAGTAGGTAGAGGCTAGTGGTGCTGCTAAACATCCTACAATGCACAGGTCAGCTCTCCACAACACATAATTATTTGGTCCATGCCAGGCCCAGTGGCTCGTGCCTGTAATCCCAGAACTTTGGGGTGCCGAGGTGAGAGAATCGCTTGAGGCCAGGAGTTCGAGACCAGCCTGCACAACATGGCGAAATCCTGTCTCTACCAAAAATACAAAAATTAGCCCAGCATGGTGGTGCATGCCTGTGTTCCCAGCTACTTGGAAGGCCAAGGTGGGAGGATCGCTTTAGCCTGTGAAGCGGAGGTTGCAGTGAGCCAAGATTGCGCCACTGCATTTCAGCCTGGGTGACAGAGCAAGACCCTGTCTCAAAAAAAAAAAAAAAAAAAAAAAAAGAAGAAGAAGAAGAACTATCTGGTCCAAAATGTCACTAGTGCTGAGGTTGGAGAAATTCTGATATAGACAAATAAAATGTCTTAAGAAGGTGAGAGGTAATGACATAACCCGAGTTGCATTTGAATAGCTCATTTTGACTGTAATGCACAAAGTCATCTGAAGAGGTGGTCAGAAGTGAGTTAATACGGTTTTCGAACAGAGGAGGTGAGAGATGATGGTGTCTTGGACTGTTTTGATGGCAAAAAGATGATTTTTTTTTTTTTTTTTTTTTTTTTTTTTGCCAGGGAAAGTAATTCACAATGCATTCTTAGGGAGCAAAAGTCAGATCAAAAGATGCTTTGCATAGCAAGACCTCATCTTTGTGCTAAAATATTTATGTGTGCATATTTGCACAGGTAAAACTCTGAAAAGCTAGATACTAACATGGTATCATGGGATACAAGATTTTAGTTTATATATCTATTTATCTATCCACTTACTTTTTGCTTATCTTTATAATTTTTTCTACAATAAACATGTTAATTTTTTCCATAAAAATTAAGTAAAAATTTCTGACCCCAATCTACCTCTCCAAAAAACTATAGCTCAATTCTACAGATAACTGTGATGCTATATACACTTACCATATTTTTCTTCAAACATTTTCATAATAAATATGACAGATTATAAAAATAGAAACCAGGGAAAGGCTTAAAAAGGAAATCAAGTTTCAAAAGCATGATATTCAGTTGTACTAACTCGTATTCACCCTTTTACTTTGATAGAGGAGTGTGGTCTTTTTGTATACCTGCTGATCAAATAAAATTATCATTTCTCCAGAGTGACTATTCTTGTTCTTGCAATGGTATAATGCCTAACCCCCAAAGTAAAGGGTCTGCTCATTTTTTTCCATAAGCTAAATTGATGTTAGTTATTATAGACTTGACACAAAATCTGCTTGTTAAATAAATGCTGTAATCCTGTACTGCTTCTTTCTAGATATATCTAACTACCTGTTTGATCTTGGCAAATCACTTAATCTCCACAGACCAGAGTTTCTTCATCTGTTTTGGTTCAGAAAGCATACCATATGATTCTATAATTCTAGTTTTTAAATATTTGGATGGTAAACAATGTCATAGCAATGATGTAGTTGAATAGCCAGTATGTTAACACTGTAAGGTAGAGCAATAGAATTGAGCCAGAAAGTCCCTTTATTTAAGCTGTTCCTTGGTCAACAGCATCTTTACGAGTTACATAATCTCTGCTTGTCAGCAGGGACCTGGTTGTATTATCACATTATTAACTCATTCACTAATAGTCTAATGACCTTAAAGAGGAGGGAAACACCTTACATCCAGGCAACAACTTAGTTGCTGGGAGAATCTAGATGATTACCTTTTTAAAAATTATTCACTTATTCTCTTAGTGTGATGTTCTCCCAACATGATTATTATAATACTGGATATAGTACTTAGAGAATGTGATTAGTAACATAAAATTAGTCCACTATAACTAATCATTACAAAATATTCAAACAGAATGTTCGAAGCAAGCTTCAGAAAGCAATTTCTGCACTCTTGTTATGTGAACTTGAATATTACGTTTCAGACCTTCTTTCCCTAACACTTAAGAGAATTGAAACAAATGATCTCTAATATTTTTCCAGCTCTATATTCTATGTATTTATAAAACGATGATTAATAACGTAACTATGTAAGAAGCACTATAATTGGAAAGATATATGTTCATTTTTTGACTGTTTCAAAATATAATAAGTTTAATTTAAGTAGAGTACTAATATTTTCTGTGAAACTCTAAAACTACATTAAGGCTTTGACTAAAACTTATTTTTGGATATACAGGCAAAAAGTAACATAGGATTTATAAAATGTTTTGGCCTTATTCATATGTGTCAAAAATCCAGTAATAAAATTCAAGACTTGGTTTCTTTGGAGAGGTGTACACAGGCTTTTGTTAGCACCAGGATGACAACAAGGTGTTAGGATCATAGAACGGGGAACCACAGATTGATGTTTGGTACTCTACCAGAAAACGAAGGGTCTAAAGAACATGCTGATTTATGTACATTGTCAAGATTTTGTTATCCAGTCTCAGGCTGTTTGATCATTTGCCTGGATTCATATTCTATTTTTAATTCTTAACCTCAGACTAATTCTTAGAATAAAAATATTATTCACTAAAGTCAGCTGTGGAATTCAGTAGGTCATGAATACAGATGGTAAGAAAGGTAAAACCTCAGGAAAAATTAGTTTGATCAATAGTAAGAAAATAATTAATTTTCATGTTACTATGTTATATATTATTTGGAACCCTTAAAAATATTCATCAAGTATGAAAATATGTTCAGAATATGTTAAATACTGCACAAATCAAACTATTAATTTTCATATTTTACATCCATACCTTTTTTTTTTTGATCTGTGTATCTTTGAAGTGGATCACTTTAGTCAATATTTCACACCTGAAATGGCAAATTAATGCTACTGATGTGGCAATAAATTAAGATTTGATGATTCTGATATCTTCTGTTGAGGAAGCAAAGTTTACAAACAATGTTATTAATAATGTTCTTTGGCACTTAAATGTTTTCAATTATCTTATAAATACATATCTTATATATATTGTGCATTTCCATGTTATCTTAATTCATATTTATAACTATGAAATATTTATCATTATAATGTATCAACAATAAGACAATAAATGAAATTAATCTAACATGAAGTGTTTGCATTTTCCAGAGTTTCCAATAGCTAAGAGTGGTATTTGGCTAATGGTGGGCCAAATGAATAAAGAAGACATGCAAAACTCTTGATAGAAGACATTAAAAAATTGATTTGATATCAGATACAAGGAGAAAATATGCCAATAAGAAAATGCATTTTTCAAGATTAAATTCGGCATTTGTTACTTAATAGCATTTGTCATCTTCCAATTTTTCATATGTAGTAAATTAATTTCAAATCATTTCGCTCTTCCAAGTACCTTTGTGTATTGTATTTCTTTTTTCACATCCTTTTGGATAACATTTGAGAAAAAATAAGACTACAACAGTCAATGATTACATTCAGGATGGAAGACAGTTGTAAGACCAAGGAACAGGTGGAGTATGTACGATGGGAATATTCACTTTTTGTGCCACCATTTTGTAGCTCCTCAAAAAAAAAAAAAAATAGCAAATGGTGGATATTGTTTCTTTACAAAAAATGGTTCTGTACTGGATCCATCTGTGAAGTATAAACATGTCATCAGCACTCATTTTCCATATCCAAAAAACATTCCTCATGTCCATATTTGATTTTCAAGTGCATCTGTGCACGGATGGAAACCCTCCCAGCATGCTGCTACACAATTGCAGAACCCACACGTTTCTGTCTTTGAATCAAGCTTTCATGAGAGCCTGGCCTCCCCTGAGTAGAAGCTTGTTTCGAGGTTGCAAAGGTCCTCTGGGTGACCCCAATAAAAAGAACTTCAATGCCCATGGTAAGGTTAAGTTATTCCTTTTAGGGAGGTGATATTGTCCACAAAGTTTTTCTACTTTGTTCAAAAAATTATGTGTGTGTGTTAGAATTTTTCTTTTTATCCCCATGCTACGCTTAACTAATTATTAGTACTTGTACTGCTAAGTTCCTCAATGACTAGACTCACATTTGAGAAAGAAAGTGAAGATCTCGATATTAGTTAGGTTATTCAGAAAATTTAAGTAGAAAAAGCAGGGAGTTCATCTCAGAAAGTTGAAAGGGAAGCATCTTGAATTCTAGGAGTTCCTAACATTATTGATAATCACATAGCCTGAAAGAATGTAAAACATGACTAAAAAAAATTTTCACCGCTTCGTAAACACACATTCAGAAATGAACTCTGTGGTAAAGGAGGAAATTTTATTTTACCTCATTATTTTCCCTCCATAGTGCCAGAGTTACCTTCACTATAGGGCAAGGAGTAAGCTTTGCCTGTCATTTTTAATCAGGTTGTTGTAGGTAATTTTTGTTATGCCCCTCATTACTGAATTGTTTATCAATAGGTGCAGCAAGTGTCACTAGCTTTTCTCATCAAACCAGGTCTGACAAAGCAGCACAGTGCATGGGAAAGAGGCAGCTAGGTGAAACTAATGCCATAGATGTTTGATTCATTAGGAGCTTATTGTTAACGGGGATGTCTGATTGTAAAGGCTCAGTCAAGCAAAAGAGTGCAGAGTAATCAGTCGGATTTATAGTTTGCAGGGCTCAGAAAAAAATCAACATAAACCTTTGGATATAGCAGAAACAGAAAAATCCCCTTTGGGCAGCCCTAACCTGGAACCAGCCAAATAAGGTCATGCTACATGAAGGTTTCCTGTTAGGTGATGGGAGATAGGGACGGATTAGAGCCATATGGCATGGCCTATCATACCTTCTGACTTAAGATAACAAAGCCAAGCTTTGTGCTTAGCTGTTTTTGACTGACATCATCAATTTTATTTTATGTTGGTCACCTCCGGTAACAGGAAAAAATGGCCTGGGGTTGATAACACATGCTTTTTTTTTTTCTTTTAGTATTAAGATGCCCAGAAGCTAGTTTTGTGCTGTTAAAAATTTCAAAGAATTAGTAGCTTCCTCTTCTATCACCCATCCTCCAGCAACTGTCAGCCCCCCTCCCCCTTGTTTTCAGTTTGTACCTTGCAAATGAGAGGCAGCCTTATTCAGAACCAGATGTAAGGCTCCTAGAGAATGAGCATAAGCTGGTGTACTTTAAGCCTAATGGGAAGTTTTATATGCAAGGGCCTTGAACTGATTAGTATAATTCCCTCTTTAATACAGCTGTCCCTCCAGATTAAGGTAAACCAAATGTTGCAATCAGAGATTAGTGTACCTTGCCAGTTATTAACATCCCTGGGTGCTCAGCAAGCACGTCAGACGCTAATGCTGTGTATTTATTTGCTACTTCCCCACTGTAACTTGAACTTCTGCACCTGTCAAAGCATTCCAGTGAAGAGAGGGGCACTATTGGAAAGCAAAAGTTTTATACCTGTACACCTGTTTTGTTTTGTCACAGCTAAGACTTTCTTTTGGCGTGCCAAGACAGCCAGGTGCTTTCATCTGCTACTTTTCTGGTTTTGTAAAGAAAGACTTTGTGTGCTAAATTGCATTTGTTACTTTCATATGCTTCCTTTTATGCAACTAGAGAGCTGCTCACCTAAACTTTGTGTGTGTGTGTGTGTGTGTGTACGTGTGTGTGTTTTCTTTTCTAAAAGAGGTGTCTGTAGAGGGTGAGGTTTGTTTGCCAGAAAACTCCTCACCTCTGTCTCTTGTGTTCCTCAGCCTCGCCTGAATCCTAATCACAAGGTGGGTCTCACAGCTGTAATGTATTTGGCAGGATATCCTGCCTTCTTGCAACCCAGATGTCAAGAAAGACAAAGTCCTGGCTATCTCAGAAAGATCTGGCTGTGTTTCTTTCCCTCTGCAGCCCCAACAGAGGCTCGGACGGTAGGCCCGAATCTATGCAACAAGCACACTGGAGAAGTCTGGAATGGTAGTTTGGGTTGTCTTTAGGCATGTCACGTTGGTCCAGGCTCTGCACTCCCTGAGCCCTTCTCATCGGCGTGGCACATGTGCCAACCACTAAGGAAAATAATGGGAAGTTTGAGGACTAACCCTCACAGTTGTAGAATAAAGTGCCTTTGTGAGTTTTATCAACATCTTTTATTACTCAGAGATTGAGAATCAAAAGGTGCTTTCTGTGAAAAATGCCTAGTTTGTTAAGTAACCACCAGGGTCACTTCAGGGGCTGATTTGATTTTGCTTTTTAGATGTGTGTGTTTAAAGCAGGTAGCTATGCTCTTACAGGGGTTTCACCTGATGCCAGCAGCAGTGGGGCAACACCAGACCCCTGCTCCCCTATTTTGTCACGAACAGCAAAGAGCCACAGTTTTCTAGCTGACCTGTGGCTCTGGAAGCAGCCACTGGTTCAGGTTGTTATCGATGCTGGGGGAACATTTCTTTTGTTTGCCCTTCTTACCCCAACTCCATCTTGGTATTTGCACATTGATTGCCTGGTGCAGAGTTTCTACATATTATAGCTTAATTGCAGATTTTTAAAAAAGACAAAAATATGTTCATATCTTAGGAATTATGTCTTGCAGCCTACTAAATATGCTAATGCAGCACTAAGCAGGGATAAAGTTCTTGCCATACCCCCCAACAGTTGCGTGGAACCTGCTGCCAAGTGATTGTTAATTGTGAAGCACAAGCAGGCTTTGCAATCCATCTTAATTGTCATACTTACTTCAGGTTTCGTGATAAGGCTCGATGTTCTGTTTAAAGTGACAATGTTGACAAGGGGAAAGGGTGTGGGCCTGAGCCTGTGGTTCTGAAGGGGTTGCGTGCTCTGACCTGCCGAAGGTTGATATGGACGGTCTGCGAGGGGATTTTAGTTGTCATGAGGTCCCCAGGCGGTTGAATGGAGAGACTGTCTGTCCTGCTTTTTCCTGTTAGGATCCTGACACGTGGAGCATTGATGAACTCAGCACAACGTTGAATGGGAGCTTTTTGGCAGCTGAGACACTGGGGCTAAGCTGCAGGTCAGAGATAACACCAGTGCGGATCTCCTCCTGCACAGAGCTCCTAGCGTGCTTTCTTCCCTCCTGAGTGCAGGAAATGGCTCATGTTAAATACGTTCACTTTTCAGTTTTCCTTTCTTCTAAAATGGAGCTTGACAGATTGGACTTTTCAGCTCCCTCTTTTTTCACCACCTCTGCTTTCTACCTCAGAAATACTCTTCAGGAAGCAGGAGTTAATCTTGGTGAGGAAACGATAAGGTGATGCTTGATTTTCACGGCAAAGCAGAAGGATATGACTGCCTTCTTGCTGTTCATAAACTTAGAGCTCGCCACCTTTGAGGCTTTCCTTAGCTTTTCCCTTCACATCCCTTCAAAATAGACCAGAAGAGTAAGCGAGTCGAGAGTCTACTGCCCAGACGAATGTAGCAGAGCACCATGTAGCATTATGCAACCTAGAGAAAAGGAATCACTGACTTGGGAGGTAATGCTGACTTTTAAACAGTGTTTTCTCCAATACTTATGTGGCCCTCTACCCAAAGGGTGCATCGCTGCCCACACCAAAATGCTTCTGCTTTGTTTTATGTGCAGCTGAGTTTAGCAGGTTTCTGAGATGTGGAGAACAAAGAGAAACTGCCAGCAAAGAGCTACTCTAATAATCTTTTGCCAACATCCTGTATTCACAAAAGCGATGCAGAAAGAATTCTTTCTAGTTTTAGTGTCTGCCCTAAACATGGGCTGTCAAAGCTCCATTTAAAAGAAAGGTATTTGAAATGGATTCTTGTGTGGTATTGATTAGTGACTGTGAAACTAATACATTGAAACCACTCCCAAGCAAGTCAAATTCTGACTTGAGGTACATGAGTATGGCTTTGGTGAGATATGAATGTTTTCTTTTCTCTCTGTTGAGTATGTGATACCCATATCCTTTGAAGCAAAAGGGATGCGTGTGACTATGAGGGGTGTGTGTGTGTGTGTGACTATGAGGTGTGTGTGTGTGTGTGTGTGTGTGAATGTGTATGTAGGTAGAGGGGATGACATAGGGAAAGAGAGGTGGAATGAAGAACAGGGGATGGGAATGTGATAAGCTTTTTGGTCGAGGTTCAATAAGCATCAGAAAATAAAAGCATTGTGGGTAGAGATGAGAGTAACAGAACAGTCCCGGGGCTTACGCTTTGGAACAAGTAGGGTAATGCTGCCCTTTGATCTCTATCACCTCTCACCAATTTCGTGCACCCTTTCTGTCTCAGGAGGGTATACAGCAAAGCTGAGAGAAAGAGAGAATGAGCAAGTGATATGTCAAAGAGCCAAATATGGTGAGTCAACAACCCTGAAGAGAATGATTCAGGTTTGGAACTCCATCAGAATTTGCTCTGATGCAAGATAGTGGTGCCAGACTTTCCATAATAAAAATATAATTTTTCAGTTCTCC